ATTCAGAGTCCCGGCTATTTGAATGACCATGAAACGCATAAAGTAAGATTAGAATCTCAAATTGGATGATTGCAGGCTGAGTGAGTAGGGAACTCTACACCGGATATTTATTGGAATGGGGTTAAACTTTGTGGGTAAAATTAGATTCGAATGGATTATAGAAATGGGTGTCACTTTCGTGACTAAAATCAAATGTGGACGGTGCATTCCCATATGTTTGTAGCTCATCAACTGGAGGTAGAGAAAAGCATGATGTGGAGAAAAACATAAGATTTACTATGTGCACATTGCTTTTGAAATATAACATTTTCGATGTATCAAGTGTTTGATCAAGGATCTGGTCTACAGTGTAAAAACAGTCGTGCATGTTCCAAGGTTCTTTGTCGTTTTCCATTGATACCAAGGTTGCAAAGGCTTTATACGATTGATAAAATAGCTAACTCTACGTGATGGCATGAAGAGGGCCGCACCGTTAAAAATGGTTTACTCATGCACCTTGTAGATGCTCTAGCTTGGCATCGCTTGGACTCTGCTATATCTGGATTTCTATATGGCCTGTTGTTTGAATAGCATATAATCTTCCGGCGTGGATTTGCAGGAAACAACCATATTGTATGACGTCACTGCTTATTTCAGGTCCCTCATCTCCCGGTTTATAAGATTGATGAGTATGTTCAGTCTCTAAGAGAAGAGCTGAAGGAATTGTGGATCAATGGAGTGGACACATATGACGCATCTCAGTGTCAAACTTTTAAACTGAGTGCAGTTCTTTTGTGGACCATCAACGACTTTCCCTGCATATTCCATTGATTAAGGCCCCAAACTGCTCCAAATGGACATCAAGCAACCATTCCCCCCTAACGTTGCATTTTCCTTTAAACCCTCACAAATAATAAGCTGCATCTTAAAATTGAGGTGGTAAAGCGGATGAGTTTATATTCCCCGAAATAGAAAAGAGGAAACCCATGCTTAACATTCGACTCTAGTTTGGAAACTTGCTTTCTGAAATATGGGTGACTCGATATATGTAACGAAGGAAACAAAATGAAATTGACTCCCACCTAAAGCAATATTAAGGACAAGACAACATCAAACATTAACGACAAGTATTGATATCCTCAAACTTTGAAACAAGTAGATGGACTTATTTCACTTCTTAAGATGATTCTGCACCAAACAGTTAGCATCCTAGCTACTGTTCCATTTCCATATATGAATAGAACATAGTCAATCGCGATGTAATCAATATTGAAAAGCTTATATATGTATTATTATGTTGCAGATGTAATTGATGGCAGTTAGCGCAATTGGCTACCTGCTAGATTTGATGATCTAGTGGCCATTCAAGCAGCTCTATGTGGCTCTACATCTCCTCATTCGTCTACTGACAAGGTAGTATATACAAGTGTCCCGAATGGCACTTTCACTTCTAAGGATTTATGGAAGCTGTTTGCAGGCTCATTTGGTTATGGTATTATCTTTTCCGTTAGAGTGTATTTTGCTTCTTTCCTCGAAGCTGATATTGAAGGGATGTATCGAGAACCGAAACAAAATGATCACGCAAAAAACAGAGAAAAATAGACGATGCACGAATTTACCCAGGTTCACCTTCGAATAGGGCTACGTCCTACAAAGAGATTTCACTATATTTTCGGTTTATAGCCACTCAACTCGTTAGGCCCAATTCCAAAAAAAACCCTTAACTTTACACTTTGTCCCAAATATACCCTGAACTTTTTTTTGTCTCAAGAAAAATCACAAACTTTTATATAAGTCCCAAATCTGCCCTCCCGTTAAAAATCCGTCCAATTAACGTCAGAAAAAAAAAAAAAAAAAAAAAAAAAAAAACAACAACAACGAGGAACCGGCAGCTGCGGCGGTGGCCAAGCCTTCGCCGGTGGCCACCGCCACAGCTGCCGGGAAGGAGCGGCAGCCCTCGCCTGGACCTTCCCGAAGGCCGGCGACCCTCGCCGGCCCCGGGCGAGCTGCCGGCAAGGGCGCGCAGCCCTCGATCTGGGGCGAGGGTCGCGCCCTCATCGGCGGCTCCCGGGGCCGGCGAGGGTCGCTGGCCTTCGAGAAGGCCCAGGCGACCCTCGCCCCAGATTGGGGGCTGCGCGCCCTCGCCGGCAGCTCGCCCGGGGTCGGCGAGGGTCGCCGGCCTTCGGGAAGGCCCAGGCGAGGGCCACCGCTCCTTCCCGGCGGCTGTGGCGGTGGCCACCGGCGAAGACTTGGCCACCGCCACAGCTGCCGGTTTTTTTTTTTTTTCTGACGTTAATTGGACGGATTTTTAACGGGAGGGCAGATTTGGGACTTAGATAAAAGTTTGTGGTTTTTCTTGAGACAAAAAAAAAGTTAAGGGTATATTTGGGACAAAGTGTAAAGTTGAGGGTTTTTTTTGGAATTGGGCCCAACTCGTTACAATGATAAAAAAAACGAGCAAAATATATATGTGCCACAAACGGGCCCAAAACCTAAACCTATACGAAATCTCGCACCATACAAGCCAGCTTAAATAAAAGCCCAAAAGTAGATGGAACCCCCGTCGGGGGGCGATGCCCTCGAACCCCCACCCGCTGACCGGGCAGCGGGACACCCGTGTCAGGGGCGCTGCCCCCGAACCCCCGCATTCCGCACGCAGGGGTCATATGTCGTCAGATAACACTTCAGTTTTCCTAAGCTCACGTGAGCGTACCCGGTGTGAGAAACAAGGGTCCCCGAAGTATTCGCCAACTCCAACAGATATAAGCAAGTTCCAGAATCCATATGAAATGAAGGTGATTTGCAGGAGATGGAAGATAAATGTGAGAGGAATGGACGCAATTCTGAATTTTGAAAGAAAATTCAGAAGTGTTTGATATTTTCAAACAATTCAAGAACTTAATTGAAAAGGAAAGTGACTATGTTATCAAAGCCTCAAGGACTGATTGTGGAGGAGAATTCACTTCAGCCATATTCAACAAATTCTGTGAGGATTATGTTATTCAACGTTTCTTGATAGCTCTATTCTCCTCAGCAAAATGGCATGGCTGAAAAAAAACAAAACAAAACAAAACCATTCTTGACATTGTTCGAAGCATGTTGAAAAGCAAAAATTTGTCCAATGAGCTTTATGGTGAAGCTGTTATGTGTGCAATCTATCTAAAAATTAGATGTCCCACATATGGACTTGAAGGCATAACTCCACAAGGAGTACGGAGCAGGAGAACACCTAGTATTTAGCATTTGAGAATTTTCGAAAGCATGGCCTATGCTCATGTGCCAAAGCAGAAAAGATCGAAGTTGGAAGATAAGAGCAAAAAGCTCATTTTTATCAGATATGACTCCTCATCCAAAGCCTATAGCTTATTTGATCCTAACACTTTAAAATTATACATGAGCAGAGATGTCAAGTTCGATGAAGAAGGCATATGGGAAGACAATCCAAAAGATGAAGTGAATGTTCGTGGTGATTCCAGCCAAATGGAGTTAAAGGATCACTCTTCATATTCTTCTCCAATATCTTTGTCAAGTCCATCACCGCCAACTTCTTCAAATGGTGTTGATGAACCGTTAGTACTGTTGCTCATGGCTTTCACTACTATCAATCTCAACTCTTTCAACTTCGAGCCTATTCAGACGATGATTGTGGTGGAGATATTGACGATCAAAAAAGCACTACAGGCTTTGTATTTATCTTGTGCGACACTACTTTCACGTGGTCATCAAAGAAGCAACCCAGCATTACTCTTTCAACATGTGAAGCCGAATATGTAGCGACATCTTCATGTGTTTGTTGTGCAATATAGTTGAGAAAACTACTCAAAGAAATTAATATGGAGCAAAAGAAAGCAACAGAGATGTTTGTTAGCAATATTTTTGCTATTGCTTTGGCGAAATATCTAGTTTTTCATGAACGAAGTAAACATATTGATGTTCAATATCACTTCATTCGAGAACAAGTGAAAGAGAAGGACATTGAAGTGTCACGTGTGAAGACAGGAGATCAAGTAGCAAGTATTTTTACTAAATATCTCAAGATCGATGCATTTCAAAAGTTCAAGAGTCTCCTTGAAATGATTGATGGAAGAGAATTTGGTTTAAGGGAGAGTGTTAGTAATTAAATAAATTCATTAGATACGTTGAAGTTGCCAATTATGCGGAGAGGTTATCTATTCAATCGACAAGTTGTGGATTTCAAAGTTGTCGATTTACAAGTTCGATGTTGATGTCTACTTGGCTTCAAGATTGATGCATGAATTAAGAAGAATCTTTATTGTAGTGTTTATTTCAAGAGTTTGTTCGTGTTTCCATGTCTAATTAATATTTTGTAAATTCCCGGGAACCTATTTCCTTGAAATGCTAGATATATTTATGAGTTATTTAAGAGTAAGAGTAATGTAACAAGTTTATTTAAAGACAAATCTTGTAATCATTTCTAACAATGTCAGATAAGGCGAAATAAGTTGAAATAAATAAATAAAGCCTATTCGTCTCCTTCTCTTCCTTGAGTTGCGCGAATTGTGAGTATTTCATCTTCAAATTTTCTCAGCATCGATATCCTTTACTACATGTCCTGATGCTAAAAAGTTTGAGATCCCCCTCATAAATTTGTGGACTATCCGGGCCTGTGTTCTCAATTGGCTCATGCCATTTCACACCCTCATGGACAAAGGTCTCGTACCCCTCCCAGGTAAAATAAGGATTGCTATGAGTAGAGTTCTTAGAGTTTAATGTTCAAAGAGTTTCTTATGCTTAATATAACACTCAAGTTAACGCTAAAAATGCATGCTCCACAACCCCAACATACAAAATACGAGACGTTTTCACAGATTTAGTTTATGTTTCTTACACATGCAGATGAATCCTATCTAAGCAATGGCTATTGAAACACGTCCATCGATTGGATCACTGGCATGAAGAACATGCTGCTAAGCGACATGCCCAGCTGCTGCTGCTGCATCACTGACCCTGACGACACTTTTTTCCAACTATCATGGGAGTGGTCGACAGAGCTCTTTAAGTTTGCCCTCCCCTCTCTCTCTTCATTAATTGCCGTCACCTAATCTGTCCTTCTCCCGCTGGCGTTCCCCCCTCTCTCTTCTCTGTTCTTCCTCACAGCTTGCACGAAAGGCCTCAAACATTTTCTCTCTTTTTCAAATTTCTCTCCCACCCAAGAGCGAGCCCGCCGGTACCGAGCTCAGATCCGCCGCTTCCGGCACGTCGCCTCCGCCTCTGCCGTCGCCTCCAGGAGCCACTCCCTCAAGCCGAGAGCCCGCCGATCGCATTACAAGCTTAGATCCGCGCCTCCGCCACGTCGCCTCCAGGAGCCAGCCCGCCGGTCGCAGCTGCTGTGAGTGTTAGAAACCCAAAGGTTCAGACTAATATTATTAAGGCAATGGGATGCTTCAGTGTAGGTTGCTTGGTCTAATGCTCGTTGTCTTCGTTTGCACGTATATATATGTTCTATGGTATGGAACTTTGCTCATTTTTATTCCATCGAGAGTGAGTTCAGAAAGTAACTGGTAATAATGACAGGTTTTAGAAGTTTTTGTTCAACTTTGATTTTCAGTTTGGCTTCAACTTGCAGGTCACGGTAGGAGGATTGAATTCAAAAGTTCACTCGAGAAAGATCTCGTTCCAAGAGAATTCGTGCAGCAAAAGTCTAGTCAATTTGCTAAAATCTAAGCAAGAATTTCAATACGGTGGGTATGCCCATGGAGAATTTGAACTCGGGAAGCAATGACACCGTCAGCAAATGCATTGACATAGTTTGTGACTGGGAGATTTGTTCGTGTGTATATTAGAGCCGAATGCAGAACTCAGAATTTAGTTCGCTTGCCTGTTTTCATAATGACATTGAACTCATAGGATGTTGCTCAATTGCTCAGGAAAGTTTCTGTTCTATCTGATAACAGTTTAATTTTGGCCCCTTCAACATTGCTCTCGCTACTGAGAGTGTGCATCCAAAGCTTGGTTGCCTGAAAAGCTGTGTAAAAGATTTTCACCATATCCGGATGACAATCATTGTCAGAAAACAGAAGTTCGAGAGAACAATGCCACTCTTAACTAATTGATGTTATGATCTACTGTTGATTCTACAAATTAACCATAACCTGCACATATTTGAGATGTCCGACTTGGCCACCGGTTGTAAGTTTGGTGAGACTGAACTATATGAAACATACTTGATCCTGCCATGTTCTATTACTATTCCGAATCTAGTCATCTCAGCCTCACAAATGCTCTACTATTGCCCCATATTATATCTCCTTAATTTTGGTGCGGCCGTAACATTCTCTGTTTTCACGCACCGGAAATTGTCATGCATCCAAGTTCTGCATTGGGCATAGACATGGCTTCTCAAGCTTCTGTTATCAACAAATTTTGAAGAAGAAACCTTCAAAAAAACGAGATGGGATTCCTGCGGCAAATCACTTTTTTAAGGCTTTCAATTTTCGCAGGATGTTGAACACCAGCAAAATGAGCTGTTCTGGCAGTACTAATAGACTCGTCCCTTCCCAGTCTTTCTAGTTTCTACGCACATACAAATGTTACCAGAACACAAATTAAGAGGGTAAGCCAGCAGCCGAGTCAAAAAGTGCCCATCTCCATATGGCATGTGAAGCTAACACCAGAAAATAACAATCACCCGCAGAAAAGGACATCATTCCAAGCCCATCTCCCTTTCATAATTGCCAATCTATGGGATCAAGTCCGATGTTCTCCAGAATCTGGTTTGTGCGAGAAAAATGCCTGTTTGATTTGTAAAATCGGGTTATTATCTCAAGTTACATTTGACTGCTTGAAAATTGTATCTAATGGAAGGAAAGGACATGAAGAAACGCTGCCCCTGAAGCCACTTCAACAGCTTTCAAGTTATTAAATTCAAAAGAGACTGCACTTGAACTGTTATCATTTGGTGTACAGGACTGGTCTTCGTGTGCACACAGGCAGACATCATTTATCTCAGTACTAAACATTACTCTAAGAACATGAAGATTTATGAGATTTGCACGACTCCGTGGCATCTACATTCATGAAACCAGCCCCAGCAAGCTTTACTCATAATATGCCGGGTTCCCTTGACATTTAACGGCACAAATTTAGTTCTAAAGAGTGAACAACTCTTCAGTGAAAGTCACTGGATGTCAAACCTGACTAGAAGTGAGAAGGTTTTCTATTACCCTATAGAGCCATCACTAGAACACCCTACATGGTCTAGGGACGAAGATCACGAAGAGACCCACTGCCCAGCGGGTAAGCCGGTCTCGTCCGCGAGCAGGAACAACGAAGAATGCGGAGGCGGAGGCGCGGATCTGAGCTCGGGATGCGACCGGCAGGCTCTTGGCTTGAGGGAGTGGCTCCTGGAGGTGACGGCGGAGGCGGAGACGAAGGCGGAGGCGACGTGCCGCAAGCGGCGAATCTGAGCTCGGGACCGGCGGGCTCGCTCTTGGGAGGGAGAGAAATTTGAAAAAGAGAGAGAAAATGTTTGAGGCCTTTCGTGCAACCTGTGAGGAAGAACAGAGAAGAGAGAGGGGGGAACGCGAGAGGGAGAAGGACAGATTAGGTGACAGCAATTAATGGAGAGAGAGAGAGAGGGGAGGCCAAACTTAAATTCCGTGGAGCCCGACACGGTGGGCTCCTCAGATACGTGTCGCCACCTCAGAGTTGTGATTTCTTCACGGTGGAATCACCAGAGGCACCTAATATTTTCGCCTCATAAAGCCACAGCCACCGTCATTCGCACTGTTGAAGCGCTCTAGCCCCACGTTTTTAAGTGCCCTGTCCTCGTTGGTCCCTGTACTTTTGCGCGGTGTGCCCCACTCCATCTACTTCTGTTCAACTAAATCCCCGGAAGCGACCAGTCGTATGTCATGAAGAACATTGAACGCAGTCCGTGGAAAGAGGACAAACGCCCTAATAGTCATGTCCCCAGATTTTAGATGCGGATGGATAGGACAATCGCCCCGATACCAACGGAACAGGGCGCCGATACCACTGTTGACTTTCTTTCTATTTATCATATGGAGTTTGGATAATTAAGGTTAATCGTCTAGTTCGGTCGACAAATTGGTACAATTTGAGGGAATAGTTAAGGAAAATGATTGTACAAGATTTGGTGGATGACTACTGGCGCATTAAGACCCATATCTATAGGCCTCTTCAACCAACCTTGCTACAAGACCATGTGCAGAAATTTTGCCAACTCATCAAGTTCCATAGTTATCTTGTACTGCGCGGATATTTATGCATGCTAGACTATTCCAAAAGAAAAAGAAATATCTATGCGTAGTAGAGTCTTCTAAAAATTGGATTGACCTTTCAAGAGTACAACTAATCACTTGACCATCGATTATCTTTTTACCCAATTTTCCCATTTATATAGGAAGAAAGGCATTAATGGTCCCTAAATTTGGGTCAAATGTGTAATTTAATCCCTGAACTTTTAATTTGTTCAATATGATCTATAAATAATTGGTACATATTCAATTCAGTCCAGGGACTATATGAAAATATTCAATATTAACCCTGAACATGAATTAATTGAAGGATAACATTAGATTATTTTTGCTTAGTTTAGGGACTAGATTGAACATTTACCAAAAGTTTAGGGACAACGTTAAATAAATTAAAAGTTCAGGGACCACATTGCATATTGGGGTAAAGTTCAGGAGCAGCATTGAACAAATTGGACGTTTCGGGACCACATTGCACATTTGGCCAAATTTTAGGGACCATTTGTGTAATTATCCCTTTAATATAAAAATGGAAACAGAAGGACACGGGATCATTAACAAATCAAAGATTTGAATGTTCTCGAAACAATTGTATCAATGTTTTCTTCTTTTGTTTTTATTATAGGCAATGAAGTAATATTTGCAGTTATTTGCCAAAAATCATTACAGAAGTAATGCTTCGGAAAAAAAATTTGCCTAAAGTCATAGTAAAAGCAACGTTTCGAAACTAGAGTTGCCGTAGAATTTCCGAAAGCAACGCATACCACAAATGTCGTTGAAGCTGTGAGAAATTACAACGAGTGTAAGCTAGTGTTATGCCATACTTAAGGCTAGGTTCTCGGTTGTGTTGCCTCATGACCGCGTCTAAGGCAACATTTCTGCTCCTAGTTGCCCTAGGCGGTCTCTTAGGCAACACAACGAAATATTTTGTAGTTGCAACAGCAATGTACCCTAAGATCGTTGTGGTTGTTGTCAATGTAGTCTGATTTGCTTATAAATAAATAAAAAGATTCATCACTGGGCAAACGACGTATGGAGCAAATACCCTATGAATGTTAGGTTTGACCAGAGACATGCATGAAACTCATTGATTGACTAACCCAAATTGCGAGTGCATGTTGTTATTGAGAGGCAGTGTCCCTACATATGTGCCATCTATTTTCATGTGGCGGATTCACTCTTGTGAGGGAGATCTAATTCCAGAAAGAGTAAAAAGATGACAGAAATGGGTTCAATGGATGATCATCTGTTCGAGTCATCAGGCCCAGGAAAACTGCATGCCATCTGTGTTCCGATGCCAGCGCAAAGCCACATAGGCGGAATGCTGAAATTTGCAAAACTTCTCCATCACAAGGGCTTCTACATCACCTTCGTCAACACCGAGTTCAACCACGCACGGTTACTCAAAGCGAGAGCCGGAGGTCCTAATGTTGACGCGGAGGGGGACCTTTCAAGAGGGGATCGTTTTCAGTTCTTGACTATCCCTGATGGGCTTCCGCCTTCGGATGCCGATGCCACGCAAGAGCGGGTCTCGATGTGTGACTCGGCGAGGAAGTACATGGTCGCTCCTTTCTCTGACCTTGTATCCAATCTTCTTCGTCACGCTTCCCATACTTCAGAGGCAACTAGTACTGCTAGTGTTCCTCCAATTTCTTGCATCGTAGCGGATGCTGGTATGTCATTCGCTACATGTCCTGCTGCTGAAAAGTTTGAGATCCCCCTCATAAATTTGTGGACTATCCCGGCCTGTGTTCTCATGGCGCTCATGCAATTTCGCACCCTCATGGACAAAGGTCTTGTACCTCTCCCAGGTAAAATAAGGATTGCTATGAATAGAGTTCTTAGAGTTCATTGTTCAGAGTTTCTTATGTTTATTGATCCACTAAAATTAACGTTAAATATGGATGCTTCACAACCCCAACATACAAATAACGAGATGTGTTCAAAGATTTAGTATATGTTTCTTACACATGCAGATGAATCCTATCTAAGCAATGGCTATTTGGACACCTCCATCGATTGGATCCCTGGCATGAAGAACATGAGGCTACGCGACATGCCCAGCTGCTGCCGCACCACCGACCCTGACGACACCATATTCAACTTTCTCATGGAAGCGGGCGAGAGAGCTCATAAAGCCACAGCCACCGCCGTCCACACTTTTGAAGCGCTCGAGCCACACGTGTTGAGTGCCCTGTCCTCGTTGGTCCCTCGACTTTACGCGGTGGGCCCATTCCATCTATTGCTCAACCAGATCCCCGGAAACGACCAGTCGGACGTTGTGAAGAATATTAAATGCAATCTTTGGAAAGAGCACAGCGAATGCATCCAATGGCTGGACTCGAAGAGACCCAGATCGGTGATTTACGTCAGCTTTGGGAGTGTAGTATGTGTGACGCACCAGCAGTTGGTAGAGTTTGCGATGGGATTGGCCAATAGCGAACAATGCTTCTTGTGGGTCATAAGGCCAGACCTGGTGATGAAAGCAAGTGGAATTGATCTTCCTGGTGAGTTTCTCGAAGAAATTAGGAGAGAGAGGGGTCTCCTCTCGGGTTGGTGCCCGCAAGAGAAGGTACTGAGCCACCCTTCGATCGGAGGGTTTTTGACTCACTGCGGGTGGAACTCGACCATCGAGAGCTTGACGGCCAGAGTGCCGATGCTCTGTTGGCCATGTCAAGACGACCAACAGACAATATGTAAGTATGTTTGTGACGAGTGGGAGGTTGGGTTGGAGATCGGGAGTGCTGTGAAGAGAGAGGAAGTGGAGAGGCTTGTGAGGGAGTTGATGGTGGAAGGAGAGATGGGGAAGAAGATGAAGAAGAGGGCCGAGGAGTGGAAGGAACTTGCAGTGCAGGCGGTCGGTCCACATGGGTCCTCCTCCATTAATTTGGACATGTTGGTCGACGACATCTTGTCCAAAAATAATTAGTTGGTTCTATAGAGTCGTACACCTAATCAGTTGCATGTCGCCTGTGTTCTATGGTCACGATGTTGAAGATGATTTTGGAGTTGATAAGAAAGCTCAATTAGAATAAAATGGAAAAGAACTATGTGATATCTTCTTCGTACCATGAATATTTCGATTATTTATTCTATAATGAAGTGGTACATCTACTGATGTTTGTGGTAATATGTGTTGTCAAGGCATGTTTGGAAAGAAATCAACAATTTTGATTGTAATTTGGTACTATGATGGAGGCAACTCTAATAGGGATATAGCAGCAGTGGTTTGGAATGATTCGTCTCATTCCTTGCATGAACTTGAAGATCTGTGTATAAATATCTTCAACCCAGCTAAATTAGTCTAGCTCATGTACCTATTTAATTGTTTTACCAAACCCAACTGGACTAAGGAAATGAGATCTCAAGATTCTTTTAACCTACTAGTTTACGAATTTCTCCTATCAAATATATCTTTAAAATAGATAGTTGGAAAAATCTCTACCTACTTATGATCCTATGGTATTCGGCTTTGACATTTGAGGTTGAGTAGATTTTGTTTCATGCAAACCCAGCCACTTTCAATACTGTGATACAAGTAGGGTTTTCTTTTTTTTCCTTTTTTGATAGTAAAGAATTAATTTACCGTAACAAAGGAAGTTGGACCAATCATGTTATATTTAGTAACTATAAAGATTACACCTGCATTGCACCTAAATGGAGGAGCTTTCGTCAAACTTCTCATGTGCAACCCGAAAATTGTCGAGTAGAAGTTATGTGTAGCTTCAGAAGTTTATCTTATGTATTTCATCTTTAGATAAAGAACGAAACTCTACATAGGAAACAAATGTATTGTACGTGTGAAGTTGAGTCTAGTAGATCCCCTCTTCTTCTTCTCTTTGACTTCTCTGTATGTGTGCTGGACGTGTGTTGGTGTTTTTTCTTTTTAAGGGCCCCTCTCTTGTCTTTTCTCTCGCTTTGGAGTCTTCTGTCGCCTCCTCTCAATTCTCTCTCCTTACACAACTCACTATTGTAGCCGTGAATTCCATGAAGCTCCCTTAAAAATTGCTAGGTTAGGGCTACACTTTCTAATTTCAAATCTTAAAGAGATACACCCTATCCCCATAAAAGATCATCTTCTCTTATCAATTCTAATTGTGATAATATCAAACCAATTTTCTTAATTATCTTATGAAATCCAATATTTTCCAACTTGGCGTTTTCCAATGAAAATTTCAACTCTTCTAATGTTCATGGGCTTGGCCAAATTTCCTCTGACCGCGGGCTTAGTCCAACTAGATTAATTAAGCTCAAAACCCTCCATTTAAGTCAATCCACCGACAATCCAATTAATATGCAAACTATACGAGCTTGATTAACTACTAATACAAATGCTCCTAAATCTATATGCATTTTAACTAATATTTTTGTTTAGAGTCGAGATCGATTCCTAATTTTTCCAATGCAAAAAATACTTAAATGGATCGCCAAAATTTAAGTATCAACAACTGGTCCAAATCAATCGACACTAGTCCACGGCTGGTCCCTTCTGTTTGAATTCATTGTATAGCTCTTTGCAATAGTATGTTTGGCTAGAGTTACATCAATAACTTCAAGCCATATTGCCTTTTATGTCGAGTTGCATAATGGGAATACCTCTTCATTTAATGTGATGAACCCAAGTACTCCATAGGGATGAGGATAGATGATTAATGAGGCTCCAGAGCATGCAACCCAACAATACTGTATTCAAAAGTTTTAGATCGAGCAGCCTAGTCTGCCATCTTTTTTGGTGAGCACACTACTTTCCATGCAACTTTTCAATCTCATAAGAACTGCCTAATCTTCTTTTCAATCTCATAGATAGTTTGCTTTGGGTGGAGAAATATTTGCATACATTAAGTGCAAATGGAAAAAAGTACTGATTTGGTCAATTGAAGTCATCCTGCGTAGCTGATATGATTCGTGCCTCATCCATCTATTTTCAAGATCTTTTCCATTAGATCCTTGCAATCCACGTGTGTGAGCCTTTGCTTAACAAGTGGAACACCGAGGTATCTTATGGGGAGGATGCCCATGGAGAAAGGCGTGTGATCCTGTATAAGGATTTTTTCATACTCGAACAACCCAGAGAAAAGGATATGGCATTTATCTAAGTTAAACCTAACTCCTATAAGAGCCGCAAAATCATCAAGTGCATCAACAAGGCAAAGACGGAGTTTACATCCCCAAGAGCAAATAAGAACAGGTCATCGGCAATGCATAAATGAGTAATCCTTTGTGATTTGCAACACTAATAGAACTTAAAAGATGAGGTAGCAATTTTTCCCGTGATAATTCTATTAAGGATTTCCATAACCAAAAAAGAGAGGTAGGGAGAAAGGAGGCTACCTTGCCATAGCCCATTTGCGCTAGCAAAATACCCAACCTGTCACAACCTACCCTCGGGTGTATCACCTAGGGGTTCGGCTAATGGATTGTTAAGCCTAAACCTAGCTCGGGCTCTTCCAAGCCCATACCAATTCACGACTTAAGATTTGAGTTTTTAATATGCAAGATCATCTCAATAAGGAGTCGCCACTAATCTATTTTTGGTGGGTCGATTAAAAACCCAAGTAAAGTATCAGGAATTCTACTTTATTCCTACGAACCAGAGATTATGGATTCGAAAACTTGGTTACACTAGATTAACCTAATGCCCTTTCGGTACCTTTTCTCTTTAATTTTTCAAAAATATTTTAACAGGCAGCTTGAATTGATTTTAACTTATCCACTAGCATGTAAGAGGTGATCATACGGGTGCGCAATCAATGAAATTAACACTCGGATAACAAAACAAGCAAATTGCAAGAAAGTCAAGAAATTGGTCACACCAAAACAATCAAATATTTTTAGGGTTTTCTTTTATCTTGAAATGAAGTCTAATTTACATGACATGTGATTTCCTAACATGCCAACTATATGACATGCATATGATATTTTTGGTATTTTTATTAAAATTCGGAATTAATAAATACCCTAATTGAACTATCTAAAAAAAGTAGTTATCTAATCTAGTTTAGGGATTAATTCGAACTAATCCTATCCCGTCTTAGAAAACTATTTTTAAACATGCAAGCATTATCTAAAATCCCATCCACTAACGAAAGTCACATCTAAAACCTATTCTAATATATTCTAGAATTTACCCTAATACTATTTAAATAAGCAATGTCATCTAACAATCTTATTAAGCCTAGCAAGGAATCTTTTTGTATTTTGTATTTTTTTTAAATAATCCGATATCTTTACGGATCAAATTAGTAATTAAATCAACTCATATCGACAACACCCTAATTGGATAATGCTTAGGATCTTAACAAAATCAATCCGTGATTAGAAATTAGATATTCAAATCAAATCGGATAAAGATTATAACCTAATTGTGACGCGCGTAATCTTATCGAAATCGTATCGGATCACGGCTTGCGGATGAGGCTCGGAGGATGACTGGCGGTGTGCAGTGCTCGACGATGGGGCTACTCACAGTGTGGGGTGCTCGATTGAGGATTACAAGCAGCTCGTTGGCGTCGCAGCTAAGGATGCTCCCAGTGGATGACTTACGGCCGACGGGGAGTGTTCGATGACGGGGAGGTACTCAACGTATTCCTCGGCGGATGATGGTTCGGATGCGCAGTCGGCTATGGTGACTGGTCGTGACGTTCCGCCAAGGGACAACAGTTCGTAGGGCTCCGACAAACCTGCAAAAACATAGACGAAACTCCTTGGCTCGATGGAGGGTCGATGGCTGCAAGAGGAGGACACGTTGATCCAGCAATATCGCGCATCGTTGGGCTCGACCAGGCTAGAGCAAATCGGCACAAGGTCACCAGGATGCGAAGCCAAGGGTCTGGATGCTTTGAGAACTCGCTGGAATCACTCCTGGACGCTCGAAGGCTCGGTTCTCGTTTGAGAGAGCAGCAGCAAATCAGCAAGAAGCAGAACAGTAGTTGTTCATAAAGGGAACCACCGCATGCCCGCAAAAGGAAGAGGCCTTTTGGTTGAATTTCTCCACTCATGATCACCTGGCTATGGCTTTCTTTGACTCAAACTTCTTGACCTTAGTTGGCAGGATTTAATCAAAAGGCGACAAAATCCATGTTGAGTAGGTCACTCCCAATTGGAGAGGCCAAAGGGAGGGGGAAAGAAAATCAAGAGAGATCGGGAGATAAATCAACATGATCTTCCACATCCAGAAAATCATGAATGTTTCGGAAACAAATCACCGTGATTTTCATATCGTACAATTCCAATTGGGATTGCATTTGCTCCTATAAATAGGAGTCCTCCTCAATGGAGAGATATATACAAAAAGTAAGAAGATCATAGTATAGCGGAAGAAACAATCTTCTTCTTCCAAGAGAGTTATCTTCAAGAGAGTTATCCAGTTTGTGAGAGGTTCAGATCCACAAATTGAAGACAGTGAGAGATCCACCTTAGGGTGAAGTTGTATTCCATTATTTATCATAGTGGAAGTTTGAAGTGGACTACGGTCCCGTGGTTTTTCCCTTCACCTTGGAGGGTTTCCACGTTAAAATTCTGGTGTTATTTACTATTCGTCTTTACAGCTTTCATCAAATATTTTATCCTATTTAATTGTCACAGAAATAGTAGTGGGAAAATTATCCAGGCCTTTTTTCGCATATACTGTTCTTTTTCCCAACAAGTGGTATCAGAGCTAGGTTGCTCTATATATTATTTTTCTGTGCAGAATTAAATGGAGGAGAATTCTGGCAACATGATAAAATTGACCGCATTCAATTATGCGATCTGGAAACCAAAGATGGAGGATCTGCTTTACATTAAAGACCTTTGGAGGCCAATCGTGATACCAATGGAGGAACCAACACCAACGTCCAAGGAGGTAGATCCTGCCGCGAAAGACAAATCGACATCGTCCTCTGGTGGCAAACCAACGACCATGTCCGAAAGTGAATGGATGGTGCTCAATCGAAAGTGTGCTGCTCAAATCCGGCAATGGATCGACAAGAGTATTTTTCAAAATTTTGCTAATGAACATGATGCTGGTGTTCTTTGGCAAAAATTAGAGAAAATGTATGCAAGAACAACGGCGCAAAATAAAGCAAATCACATGCGGCGGCTCGTGAATTTGAAATACGAAGATGGGAGCAGTGTCTCGGAACACATGAG